GAACCACAGTGCTACTTCCAGTTTTTGAGTGGTTTATTGGAGATAAGAGTCTCACGGACTTTCCTGCCCGGGCTGGCTTTGAACTGTGGTTCTCAGATCTCAGCCTCCTGAGTAGCTAGGATTACAGGGGTGAGCCACCAGAGCCTGGCTGGTTTTGTACTCAAAATTAGTGCTCTACCACTTGAGCCACACCTCTACTTCTGGCTCATTTAGTGATTACTTGGAGTTAAGAGTCTCATGGACTTTCCTGCCTGGGCTGGCTTTGAATGGTGATCCTCAGATCTCAGCCTCCTGAATAGATGGGATTACAGGTGTGAACAACCACTATGCTGCTTGAATTTGTGAGAGATAGGGATCTAGCTTCAGTTTTGTACATATGGATATCCAGTTTTCCCAGCTCCATTGCTCACGAGACTACTGTCTTTTCTCCAGTGGTACAAAGGTGCCAAAAACCATGTGGGTATAGTTATATGGGATCATTTATTTGGATTTATGTAGATTTAACTGTATGGGTTTCCTATGCTATTGGTCTACACTTCTGATTTTATGTCCAAATCATGCTGTTGTTTTTTTTGTTGTTACTATGGCTCTGCAGTTGATTTTGAAATGACCTATTATGATTCTGTTAGCATTCCTCTTTTAGCTCAGGATTGCTTTGGCTAATTTGGAGTATTTTGTGCTTCCATATGAATTTTAGGATTGTTTTCCTCTATTTCTGTGAAGAATGCAATTGGAATTTTGATGGTTATTGAATTGAATCTATAAGTCTCTTTCAATAGTATAGATATTTTTATAATATTGTTTTGATCATGTACATGAAAGGTCGTTTTATCTTTAGTGGCTTCTTCAATTTCTTTCTTCAGTGTTTTACAACTTTCATGGTAACAGTCTTTTACTTTCTCAATTAAGTTTATTTCTAGATATTTTATTTACTTTTGAGGTCTTTGTAAAATAAGATAGTTTTGCTAAGTTCTTTCTCAGAATGTTTGTTATTGCACTTTCATATGATATTTTGTAACAGGCTACTTTGCTGAAAATGTTTATAAAATCTCAGAGTGTTATTGTGGAACATTCAGGTTCATTTAAATACAAAATTTTATAATCTGCAAATAAGGGCTATTTCTCTTCTTCATTATCTTGCCTTATTGCTGTGGCCAACAATTCAAGCACTACATTGAACAAGAGGGGAAAGAGTGGACACCCTTGTCTTGTTCCTGACTTTAAAGGAAATAATTTTAGTTTTTCCTTATCCAGTATGATGTTGGCTATTCATTACATACAGACTGTATTATGTTAGGCATATCCCATTTACTTTGGGTTTATTTGGGACTTTTTATCATGAGGGAGGCTGAATTGTATCAAAGGCTTTTTTAGTGTCTATTGAAATGATCATGTGGTTTTTGTCTTCAATTCTATTTATGTGCTATATTTCATTTTTTGTTTTGTATATGTTTTCTCCCTTGCATTTATGGGAAGAAATGTTTTGAAGAATTTGGCTCACAAGTATTTTCTGACAAATTTTGCATCTATATTCATCATGGAAATCGGTCTATAATTTCCTCTCTTTTTTTTTGGCTGTAGAGTTATCTAGAAGATTATGGTTTGAAGATAACTCAGGCCGAAATGCTCTCAAACCTCCATCTCCCAAATAACTACCAAAAATCCAGGTTGGAGGCAACTCAATTGGTAGAATGCCAGCTGAACAAACAAGTCAGACAAACATGAGGCCCTGAGTTCAAATCCCACTACTGTCTTAGTGTGAAAATGCACAGTATAATTATTGAAAAAGACCAAAACAGTTGGGAGAAAAAGGAAAAACCAATATATATTTCTTCCTGGCTGAGAACGAGGATGAATTCAGGCGGGGCACATCAGGAAAGTAGGATTTTCCTCTGGTGTCTTGACCTAGAGTTCCATAAGGCTTCCTTTATGTGTTTGCTACTGTTTTCCCTTGGACTTGGGCCTTCAAGAGATTCACTGATATGGGGAGATCTTTGGAAAGTTGGACACATAAAATTTTTTTTAAATCTTCTGTTTCCCAGTTGGGTGGCTTATCTTTCAAATCTTTCCTAAGTAAAATGGTGAGGGAGTTATAAGTTACAGGAAGCCCCTTCTATGGTGTCTGCCACCCTAAACTTCATGCAGAGTGCCAGTTTGTGTGCTTGTTAAGTCTTCCAAGAGGGCTTTCCTCCTCTCCCTTTGGGAGTTTTTTGTTTTCCTCCCCCTAAAATTTTGCCTAGAACTCTACATTAGGGTCTTTTATCTTTTCTTTTTATCTTAATTGATCTAAGGTTGTCTTTCTAGATATAACCTCTTCTCTAACAACCTACTTTTTTTTTGGTGCCAGTCCGAGGGCTTGTACTCAGGTCCCCTGGCACTGTCCCTGAGCTTCTTTTGCTCAAGGTTAGCTCTCTACAGTTGGCTAGCTCTACTTCTGGCTGTGTGTGTGTGTGTGTGTGTGTGTGTGTGTGTGTGTATGTGCTTAATTGGAGATAAGAATCTCAAAGACTTCCTTGCCTCAGCTGGCTTCAAATGACGATCCTCAGCTCTAAGTCCCTAAGTAGCTAGGATTATAAGTGTGAGCCATCAGCACCCGGTTACTCTGCTCTTTAATGATGCCCATGATTACATTTCTAAGCTTCCTGCCTTTCCTTGAGGCCACATACCTAAGATTCTATTTTCAGATTGGTGGAGGTGCAGAAAAGTGAATATCTATAATTTAGCCCCACATCTCTCATTTCAACCTTCATGTTTCAGCTGTCAGAGTTATCTGCAAGATTCACATAAAAAAATACTTTTGTCTGAGATTTATCTGCCTCTTAATGTTCTCCTCCTGCATCTTTCTGTGTCTTTCCAAATTGTTCCATTATTCTAGCCTATTATAAATATACATACGCATCTCTGGCACAGGGTGCAGTTTGGTTCTAGTAAATGGACAGACATGGTTCCAAAACTGGTGGATGTTAACCCTAGCCTTCGACAGTGACACCCAGAAGCCCTATGAGTAAATCATAGCAGACTCCATGCAAATGATGCTGGTGAGCTTCTCACTGTCTCTGCCTCTGTCTCTCTGTCACCTACTCACTCAGAGATTCCACTTTCAGAAAAATGTGTCCAACCAATACTCATGAGACAGTCATATGAATAACAATCTCAGGACATTTGTGTGTGAATATTCTCCATAATGTGGATTAGACTTGGTTATCCAGCCACACTTCATTCATTATCCAAGGCAGAGTGTATCATAGTGGAAACAAAGCCAAACCCTAAGCCCAGTAGACTGGAAGAGTAGTTAATCCCACCAGACAGTAACAGAAATACCGGTCCCTGGCAGGTATAGGCAAGGCCAACATTCTTACGATGTCACTAAATCAAGCATGGCATGGACTCAGTGATTTTACATGGCCTTCAGTGACCCAGGCAGTGAAATGGACATCAGGTCCGCATTCTCACAGACTAACCAGCTATATTGTCACTTCCCTTCAAGACTATGCATTCTGTACTCCACATGAATGAAAAGAATTTGGAATTCCAAATGTCTTTGTATTTAAAATGTTCATTCAGGCCTAGCATACTTATTCTTTTAAAAAGAAAATTTTAAACATGAAAGAAATGAAATTCTCTAGCCAAGAAATGGAAAAACTCAACATCCCTAGGTGTAAAGAAAATGTAAGTCAAAACAACTCTGAGATTCCATCTCACCCCCGTTAGATTTGCCAACATTGTGAATTCAAACAACAACAAATCTTGGTGGAGAGGTGGGGGAAAAGGAACTCTATTACAGTGTTTGTGGGAATGTAAACTAGTACAACACTCTGAAAAGAAATCTGGAGGTTCCTCAATGACTAAACATAGATCTTCCCTATGATCCAGCCATACCATACAGGGCATCTACCCAGAACTTCACAAGCCAGGATACAATAAAGTCACTTGTCTACCCATGTTCATTGCTGCACTATTCACAATAGCCAAAGTATAGAAATAACACAGATGCTCTACAATAGATCAGTGGATCCAAAGGTGTGTTGCCTATATGCAATGGAATTTTACACAGCCATTAGAAAGAATACTATATAGTTTGCAAGGAAATGGATGGACTTTGAAAAAAAACATTTTAAGTAAGGTAATCTAAGCTCTGAGAGACAAATGGTGCGTATTTTCTCTCATTTGCAAAAGCTAGAACTAAAATACTCCAGGACATGATAAATTGTATAGGACTCTAGGCATTCACACACAGTGAAACAAAAGGAGAATAGTTAGGGGAGGAATGCAAAGGTGCAATGCCTGTGCGCCTATAGGCCAGATATGATCCATTCTCAGAGAAGACCTCGTGTTGATGGAAGAAAAGAGCTCATGACCACATCTGAGACCCTTCCTATGGTAGGAGCCATTAGCAAATGCATTTGCTCTCAGCCCTGCCACATTCTAGCTGTGGAATCTTAGAATATTTGTGGGACTCAGGAACCTTGTATACATGACAATAAGTCTTGCTTAGCAGGTGATGGTGAGTATTCTCCAAAGGCTTATGGAAGGTATTTGATAAATGAGTAGTACAACAGTGAGTCTTTGACATACATTTGCCTTTATTTCCCACACCAATGATTTCTCTTCCTTCCTTAAGCCCACATATTTTGCTATACCTGTCTTTTTGCAACAGGACCATCTTGCTCAAAGTAATGATTTATGGTATGAGGCTTTTCCAACATGAACCTGTTGGCTTCATGACCAGGTCCCATCCCATTGGCATACTTAGTTTTCTGTCTTTTGTCTTCCTGCTGCATAGGTATCACACTTCTGCTTTCTTTTTATGGCCTTCACCATACCCCCAAAGTGAGGTATGAGTCCTCTGAATGAGGGGAGGGGAAGATCTCTCAGGACCAATACCTCCTCCATCTCCCACCTCTGAGCACCTGGTTCCCTCCTGGGGTAGAACCAAGGATTTGATCTCCACCTATCTTGGCCCTCGCTCTTCAGGTTTCTGACCCCTTCTGGTTTGCTGTCATGCATTCCTGCCCTTCTCAAGAGGATCAAGGTGAGGCATCCTGTGTTGGGAGTAATAGGGAAAATGGGAATAGTGGGGCGTACACCAAATATCTGTATTTGCTCAGGTTTCTATGTGGCGTCTTGTTGGTGCTTTGGATAAAGACACCTCATGAAAGCATGTCTGTGCACTAAGGAGTGGGGCTATTTCAGGATATGCAGTGTCATTCCCAATGGCCAGCCAAATTCCACATGACGGTTGTCACATACTTGTGTGTCTCTCAAGGATTTTCTCACTTGGGAGTATGAATCTTCAGAATTAGACTTTCTTCTGCAAACTCACCAATTGTTTGCCTTTATTGACTGTCAAATATCCTTAAGGATGGCTTTTCTTTCTTTCCTCACATTCTCAGTGAAGCCCAATGCTTTTCTACTTCACTTGCTACTCAGCCACTGAGATGAGTCACTGTTAAAGCCACGAATATGAAAGCTCACACCCTACTGTAGATGGCTGTACCCACACAGTGCTCTCCTACATTTATAGCTTCTGTCCTCCAATTCATTCATGGAATATTAACATTTGTATTATCTTTGTGTAGCTTTCCAGGTGGCAGAATTTGTACAAGGAGATAGTTCTTATATCTTAGTGCCATAGTTCGCTACAACATTGACAAAAATGTACGAATTAGGATAGTAAACAAGCCTGAGCAAAAACCCACTGTATAGTTTTGACATGCAGCATATAGTGGTATGTACTAGAAATACTGGCTGAACTGCACATGCAAATACTCAACTCAGCCAACAATAGCATACAACATCCAGTTTGCATAGTGGTTTTGGGTCAGGGACTTAGATTTAAAGGTAACCAATTGGGTAAAAAAAGAAACAAACATCCAAGTGGACTAAGTAAGGGCTAGCCTGATGAGGGCTAGCCCTGGAAACATAAGAGGGCTTGTTGAAGGCTAGAACATGCCAGGTCTGAAGGCATTCCTCATTTATATATGCCTCTAATCCCAAACTGTGGGAGACTCTAGCAGGAGGAGTGAGTGATTAAGGACACCTGGGCCTAGCTTGGGCTATCTAGTAAGAAGAAAAGGTCAGTAGTGTTTGAACAGTATTCTGGAGTAGAAGTGTGAGTGACCTGTGAGGAAATGAGTCAGGCTGCACCCATGAAGGAGGGTCATGAATGCCCAGCTTTGGGCTGTGGCTGAAAGGCCAATGCCTGCACAGTTTAGGACAGAAACAGTGGCCATTTCTCCTTTCATTGTCACTGCCTGGCCCAGGAACTGCATCGGGAAATAATTTGCCATGAATGAGATGAAAGTGGCCGTGGCCTTGACCCTGCTCCACTTTGAACTGCTGCCAGATCCCACCAGGATCCCCATCCTCCTACCGTGACTTGTGTTGAAGTCCAAGAATGGGATCCACCTGCATCTTGGGAAACTCTGCTATGTCTAGAGGGAACAGGAAATGTTCTCCATCCCGCCTAGTATCTCCTATTCCCTTCCCCTACTTCTCTGCCCACTCCCTTGTCTTCCCACTGCCTGCTGAACCCTTTCAGTCCTCCTGTCAGCTCTCCTTTCTTTTGCTCATCTTTCTCTAGAATCTTACATGATTTTCTGTCTATCGATATCCAACTGCCTGTAGCTGTACTCTTAATCCTTGGTTGTCTGTCCTCTCACTGGTCTGCCCCTCTACAGATTTTTTCCAAGACTGTCTATGCCTGTGTGAGTTACCTATTGCACCTATAATGAATTACTACAAACTTAGTGGCTTTAAATGGCATAAATGTATTCTAATTAATTAATTTGGCTTTGGAGTGCTGCAGTGTTGTGAAATGGGTTTCACTGGAATTATAAAGAGGGTACTGGTCCTGACCTATGATAGTTCAGTTTACACATTTTCAGGTTCACCAGAAGCAGGTCTCATTTGGTCCACTTGGATGTTTGTTAATTTTTTATTTTCACTTTTTACCAAATTGGTTACCTTTAAACCTAAGTTCTTGACCCAAAACCACTATGAAACTGGATTTTGTATACTATTGTTGGCTTAGTTGAATATTTTTCTGTTTAGATGTTCTACCTCCTTTTCTGGAAACATTTTAATAGTACAACTCAATAGTGATGTGGGTCCCATACTTTGAGATGCTACAAAGTTCATTTGTCTTAGAGACCTAAGGCAGGAGTTGATTTAGACCCACCAGCGAGGGTGCCGCTACTGGGGCTGATGAATTTTCCAGAGTATTTTATTGGAATTGTTACAGCTTTCAAACATTTTTTAAAAATATGAACTTGTTACAGAAACATGCCTGTAAGTGCAAAACATACAAAGCATAGGTTGCATACAGATAGGAAATTTTCCTTATAGTATTTTAAAACTCCTTATTTCAAACAGGCAGACACAAGCATACCCTTTCCTGCCTGGGTTGGCTTCATACTGCGGTCCTCCAATCTCAACCTCTTGAGTAGTTAAGATTTAGGCATTAGCCCTTATCATATTTTGTTTTATGACTATCTTTCTTGTTCTGCCATTAACTAAAAGATTGTGAAGTCAAGGAATATTTGTTTGCTTTGTTGAATGCCTAAAAAAACGAGCTGTCTTGTGAGCATTTTGGAAGAATACTATTACCACCTTACAAAAGGAGACATTCAGAACCAAGAGGGATCCGTTGCTACACACACACACACACACACACACACACACACACACACACACGTGTGCACATGCACATGCACATGCACACACACAGTGGCTGACACACTGTGCCAAGAACAGGTTCAGGGAACATTGCAGAGAAAGCTGGAGCAGGCAATGTGGAGTCCAACACAGAAGATATTAAATGTTACTATACTTGTTGAATATTTGGTAAATGTTGGTAACATTGTTGAACATTTGGTAAATGGTAAATGAATCCTGTGAAGTTAGGATTCTACTCAAATTACTTTATAGCTCTGCCTCACCAGTTAACATTCTGCTTAGCACATGGTAGGTGCTTTTTTATAAGTAGAGAGGGAAAATGAGAGCAAGAATGGCCATTATTACTGTCAGCTGAGAAGGCTTTGCTTTTACTACCCTTAAGTAAATAATCAACTCTGTATTTCAAGGACAAGCACTACCCTCACCTCTCTCCCTCCCACAGACTTCAAGCAAAGTAAGTTTTGGGATTTAGTTGCAGGGAAGAACAGCCTGTGATCCAGAAGCCTCTCTCCATGAATGTCTCTGCACTGAGCTCCACCAGATCCCAGGGTAGCATCTCTGGCTTATCCAAGTACTCCAACTGCTGCTGCTCAAAGTAGTCTAGAACCACTTGTGCAGACAGTAGTTGCTCGAAGCCCTTCATCAGTTCTCACCTCTATTCTCACTGGCTCTTTGGGCAGAAACTAGAGGACAGAAGGAGATGGACAAGGTAGTAGAAGCCAGGGTGGACTGGGGATCTTAAAGATTCATCAGAAAACCCTCCAAAACTGCCATTTGTTTGTGTGCTTGCTTGCTTGTTTAGTGGTGCTGGGATATTCAATCCAGGTTCCCACACATAGAAATCTACCACTGAGCTACATCCCTAATCCTAAAAGATGAAGCCTCTTGTGCCATGTCACTGTGGCATTTCTATTAGGCTGGACTCACCCTCATGAAAAGGAGCTCACACCCTCACAAACAAGCTTGTCCTTCGGTGACTCAGCTCTGCCCAAGCCCCTTCCAGTGTGTTGTATGTCTGATGTGGCCTAGCATCTAGAGGCTGTGATTGATCTCCCCTGAAATTCCTTCTTCTCTAGGCTTAGCACCTCCAGCAACTTCAGCTAATCTATAAGAACCAGGCTTCTAGATGCTTCCCCACTCCAGTCATTCAGGCCATCCTTTGTGCCTGACTCAGAGCTTTTTTGGGACACAGATGTCACTGTGATAGAATTCCTGCCTTATGGTTTCCTTGTGTGGTAACAGCAGACATGAATCTCAGGGCGTAGGAAAAGCATGCAGTCAAGTAAGATGGATGGATGGATGGATGGTGTGTGTGTGTGTGTGTGTGTGTGTGTGTGTGTGTGTGTGTGTGTGTGTGTGTGTGTGTAAGTTATAAGGATAAACTGAAAGCCAGGCACTGATGGCTCACCCCTGTAATCCTAATACTCAGGAGGCTGAGATCTGAGGATCTCGGTTCAAAGCCAGCCCAGGCAAGAAAGTCCATGAGACTCTTATCGCCAATAAACCACTAGAAATCTGGAAGTGGTGCTGTGGTTCAAGCAGTAGAGCACTTGCCTTGAGCTAAAGAGCTGAGGGAGAGGGCCTAGGCCTAGAGTTCAAGCCCCACAACTGACAAAAAAAAAAGAAAAACTGACTTGAATTTCCCATGAATGGTAAATTTAGAGCTCAAACTGACAATGGTAGCCACACATGTGGGAGGCCAATGGCATGTTGTTCTTCAGCAGTGATGTGTTAGTATCTCCATTGAACAGAGTCTGTGTGTTATGCAGCTCGCCTCACACATCTGGACCCAATTATACCATCCCTTCCTTGTAATCTACACAGAGCCTGGCACAGGTGTGTGGTTTTACCCAGGAAAGAGGGAAAGGAATGGCCTGAGGGCTGGGGAGAGAGAGAGCCAACCACAGAGAATTGGCCACAGAGAAGTAGCCAAAGCCTAAGAGCCAGACTTTGGTCATGCAATTTATTATACTAATAGCAGAGATTACTTTTTGATGTTGAGACATTGTGACCTTTTGTTTGATGTAGGTGGCCACTAATTGAACTGTTTTCTTTTCTTTTCTTTTTTTTTTTTTTTTTGGTCAGTCATGGAGCTTGAACTCAGGGCGTGGACACTGTCTCTGAGCTTTTTCACTCAAGGCTAGCACTCTACCACTTTGAACCACAGCTCTACTTCTGGTTTTCTGATGGTTAATTGTAAGTAGGAGTTTCACAGGCTTTCCTGCCTGGACTGGTTTTGAACTGTGATCCTCAGATCTCAGCCTCCTAAGTAGCTAGGATTACAGGCTTGAAACTGTTCTCTGTTTTCTGTTTGTTTGTTTTTGGTTGTGGAGCTTGAATTCTGGGCCTGGGTGCTTCAGCTCTTCAGCTCAAGGCTAGCACTCTACTACATGAGCCACAGTGCCACTTCCGGTTTTCTGGTGGTTTATTGGAGATAAGAGTCTCATGGACTTTCTTGCCCAGGTTGGCTTTGAACAGTGATCCTCAGATCTCAGCCTCCTTAGTAGCTAGGATTACAGGTGTGAGCCACCAGCATTCAGCCTTGAAATTGTTTTCTGAAGAACAGTTGCTATAGAAACCAATAGACTTCTCCAATAACATTGCCATTATACTAATGACTTTTGCAGACTCAATAAAAAAGTTCTTTTCATATAAACAGTATTTTCCTTTTTTTATTGTGAAAATACTGTACAGAGGGATTACAATTACATGGGTAAGGTAATGAATACATTTCTTTTCAAGCATTGTTGCCTCCTCCTTTATAAACAGTATTTTCTTGATACTGAATTACTCCTTAACTTCTGTTGATAAATAACAATTGCAGCCCAGAATCTTTTTTTTTTTTTTTGGTGGTGGGGCTTGAACTCTGGGCTTGGGCACTGTCCCGGTGCTCTTCAGCTCAAGACAAGCACTCTACCGCTTGAGCCACAACACCACTTCCAGTTTTCTAGTGGTTTATTGGAGATAAGAGTCTCACAGAGTTTCCTGCCTGAGCTGGCTTTGAACTGTGATCCTCAGATCTCAGCCTCCTGCGTAGCTAGGATTACAGGCGTGAGCCCCTGTGCCGGGCAAAGCCCAGAATCTTTATCCCTTGTAATTCTGAGACTATTAACTATCTCTATTCTTGACTAAGTTAGGAATAAGTATGCTGCCTGTCATTAGTCTGAACCATGGCAAAGATCAGGAACAGGATTTGCAAGCAGCAGACTGCCTTGGGCACCAAGTAATCATAAAGGAGACACACTACCGTTCTGATCAGAGTCCTTAGGTCCCTTTGTTGTAGGTAGATCCAGTTGTGGGAACAGAGAAGCTACCACTTAAAAGGCCGAATTTGGAGTCTTTTTTGGAGTGCTAGCGGGCGGCAGGGACTCCAGTCACAAAACCCTACAACTAACACATGGTTTATATGGCCAAAACCCACAAAAGGTGCATGAAATTAATCTTAACAAAGTAAAATGCAAATCAGATGTGAACACAATCAAAGTAAATAAAAAACCAGTGAGCACTCAAATGTAAACAAAGATGTTAAATATAGGCCCAAACAAATCAAATGTGGACACAATCAAGGGAAATCAAGAATCAATCATGTAAGAGTCTCCTTGCTTCACTTTCAGGGTTAATGTGAAAAGATCTTGCAAAACAAAACCATGTAGTTGGGTGTTACAGGTTTCACTGGTCAGTACTTGCTATGGACAAGGGAAGCTTCTTTTTGGTTTTGTTTTGTTTTTTGGGTCCGGTCGTGGGGCCTGAACTCTGGGCCTGGACGCTGTCCCTCAGCTCTTCAGCTCAAGGCTAGCGCTCTACCACTTGAGCCACAGCACCACTTTCGGCTTTCTTCCTTTTGCTTATGTGGTGCTGAGGAATCGAACCCAGGGCCTCAGGCAAGGCAAGCGCTCTACCACTGAGCCAACTTCCCAGCCCAACAAGGGAAGCTTTTATATTCAAAAGACCAGGGAAAACAAAAAAAAATTCCTAAATCTAGACAGGGCAATTCTCAGTCCTTGTGGGGACTGAAAGCCCACACTTACCCTCTATGGTAGCATGGTCTGTGCTAGTTCACTGATTCATCCTTGGCTCCTCAAAGGGAATCAACAAAAAAGTAAGTCCTCAGTAAGTAGTTATGAATGGATCCATATCTCTTTCTACTCTATGTAGTCAACTGCTGACTATATTGGAAGCATTTTGACATCTCTGCCTAGCTTACTCTTCTCTCAGATTATTTTCTCTCCATGAATCCTAAAACCCTTGGAAATCTCAGCTACATGGACCAAAGACACAAAAGCCACATCAGTCAGCTTTTCAGGACAAGATTGAAGATAGCATACAGATATGACCTGTAGTTGCATAGTGATGTATCAGTGCAGGAAGATCAGGAATGCTCAGGCCACCACATGACCCTGAACTGAAGATGGATAGGGTTTTTTTATGATATATGATTTTTGTGAGTATGTGCTGGTCCTGGGGCTTGAACTCAGGGTTTTGGTGCTTTTTTTGCTTAAGGCTGGAGCTCTACCACTTGAGCCACATCTCCACTTCTGGCTTTTTTGGTGATTAATTGGAGATAAGAGTGTCATGGAGTTCTCCTGCCTAGTCTGGATTTGAGTTGTGATCCTCAGATCTCAGCTTCCTGAGTAGCTAGGATTACAGTCATGAGCCACTATTGCTCAACTGATAACGATTTTTATCAGAAGGTTTTACAAAAGTGCCTGGTTTACACTGGAGCCTCAGTGAAAATTTCTTTGATGAATGACTGCATTGATGTACACAAAAGACTCAGGCCAGGGTCTGGGAAGGTGGCTCAGTGGTAGAGTGCTTGCCTTGCATGCCTGAGGCCCTGGGTTTGATTCCTCAGCACCACATAAGCAAAAAGAAAAAAGCCGGAAGTGGCGCTGTGGTAGAGCGCTAGCCTTGAGCTGAAGAGCTGAGGGACAGTGCCCAGGCCCAGAGTTCAGGCCTCACGACTAGACACCCCCCCACCAAAAAAAGACTCAGGCCAGCAGCTCAGAGTCTCTACTTATGTCTCTAATACACCTGGGCTTTCCCTGACCACAGGTTTCATGGAACATTACCTTCTTATATAGTTTTTACTTTCCCTTGCATTAGCTTAAGGTTAGATTCCTTATTTTTAAAAAATGATTTATTTTTATCGAACTATCACCCTTTCATACTCCTATAAGAACTTATTGATTCTTTCCTGCATTTACTCATTTCTTTGTAAAAATGGCATGGTTCCTATAAGCTATGTTGTAGGCTAGCCTCCACAAACAAAATGTTAAAGGCTAAGTTTACCAATACACAGCAAAGGATTAGAACACAAAGATGAAATATGATAATAGACACAGAAACTATAAGAGTCTAGGGAGAGTTGGTTTAATAAAATTACATGGGTATATTACTAAACACAGCTTTCCTCATTCTTCAATAAAATAGATTAAACTCATAATCCACCTTTGACCACAGCATTACCTGGAGAGTTATGTAGTTATACCAGTTGGATTGGGCTGCCATACAAAAATAACTTAGACTGAGTAGTTAAAATAACAGAAATGTATTGTCTCACAGTGTAGAGACCAGAAGGGCCTACTGTTTATAGTGTTGGTTCCTCCTGAGGATTTCAGAGGAGACTTGACTCCTTGCTTTGTAAATGGTCATCTTCTCCCTATGTCCCTTTGCATTCCTTTTCTCCATGTATATCATTGTGTCTAAAATTTCTCATTTCATGGTCATCTTCTCTCTATGTCCCTTTGCATTCCTTTTCTCCATGTATATCATTGTGTCTAAAATTTCTCATTTCATATGGCACCATCATACTAATTAAGGTCCATTCTAATGGCTTAATCTTACTTTAATTGACGCTATAAAGACCCTCTGTCCCAAATAATGTTACATTTTGACATTCTGGGTTACAATGAGATTCTTTCTCAAAAAGATGAATGAATGAATAAAGCATTAGCACTTCAACATATGAATTTGGAAAATCATAATTAACCCATTACTGTAGTAAAAGTCTGTTTTAAAAAAAGTTTTGAGGAAGTGGCACTGTGGCTCAAGTGGTAGAGTGCAATCCTTGAGCTGAAGAGCTGAGGGACAACACCCAGGCCCAGAGTTCAAGCTCCACAACCAAAACAACAACAACAACAACAAAGTTTTGAGCACCATGAAGTTCAGCCCTGGACCATGATCAAGCTCTTGTTTGATCAATGTTAAAAGAGTGTTTCTGAGTGAGGACCCCAAAATGGACCAACAGAGGCAGAGCCTTCTTTAAGTGGAGAGGTCCATAACTGAGGTCCTCACCAACAGTCTGACTCTCTGAACTCTATAAAATAGGTCAAGTACCATATCCCATGGCTGTCAGTCATTCATCCTAGTTCAATAATTGAACTTTTAAAGGAAGGCATTATTTGTTTTATTTTTCCTGAGGATAATTCTAAAGAACCAGGAACTACAATAGCTGCTACAATGAGTAGAGAAATTCCTAAGTGCCTGTTCTTGCTTGCTATGGTGAAGCCATCTCTCTGTCTTGGTCCATGAATTGACTATATAAATGTGATTCTGAGATCTTTCAACATATGTACAACAGAACAGATAGATAGGTTCCTCAGTGTTGTCTGTCTATAATATAAGGAATCTCTATCCAGTCTGCTCTCTGTGTAAGTCAGATGACCCCACCTGTTCTTTTGCTTTAGTCTTTCTAGTCCTACATCAATGGGATCTGAATGGTGTTTTCTGTGTAAGGACTGCCCTTCACCAAAAATGACATCATCTACAGGCCTACCTCTGCTGGCCTCTGGGCCAATCATACTTGACCGATTGTCCATGAGTGAGACTTTAGTTTTTTTTCATAGAAATTTAATCTCAGATGTTATGCTTTTCAGCTGCCAAAATTCTTCAGTGGTGCATTCCTTTCTTTCTATACATTCTCAACCCAGCCCATCACCTTTTTTGGTTAAAAAAAAGTGTATAGTCCCAGAACTACTATGGCAAGTGGTTGCTTTGTCTGGGTTTCTGTTCTTGATGCCTAGCATATATCAACCATTTGGTCAGATAGGTGAATGGCTACACTAGCCCTTTAGAAAGTTTTGTAACAATATGTGGACTCAGTGTTTGTAGTCTCTCCTAACTTTCTTTTTGACTGTGTTAATGTTCATATCCCCCATACAACTTTCCTTTTGTCAAAACTTGACATACAATGTGGGTGCTTTATGCCTCGAAATGTTTCTTAGAGACCACATAGTCCAATTATACAAGAAAAAACATAAAAAACAAGCCAGAAATTGCCAATATTGAAAAACCCACTATTTTTATTTGCAACAAAACATGTGAAAAGGTCCTAGTGTACAATTTATATTCAATGAAACAACGTGAGACAGGCAGCTATGAATGTGATATGTATTTCACAAAGGTTCAATGTGGAAAACAATTGCCATAAGCCTTGTCATATTAGAAGTAAGAAGGATTATTAGGATTAGGATTATGTATATTCTTCAAATGCTGAATCAACTTTCACAGGCTTTGAGTATATTGTTCATCCATACACTGGTTTCCGATGTTTGGATTATTCCAGGGCTGAATACTTTTTCTGTTACTCGATGAAAGCACTGTTGCTGACCCTAGGGAAACGTGAAGCTCACACAGGGAGAACTTATATTTCCCTTCAACGTGTTCTGACATAGTTTTGAAAAATACCTTGATTATCTTTAGGCAGTTGTAAAAAGGAGTTGCTATTCGACAAAGCAGTTTATGCACACAGTGCATCTTGATCTAGCTCACCCCTTCCAACATTCTCACCCATTCTTCCCAACCCACTTCTTTCCTCACATTTCTTACTTTTGTAGCATATGCATTGAATGTTTTTACTACATTCTCTGCTACTTGTCCTCTTTATTTGTCTACACCTCCCTCTCCCATCAATCCCACTCAAGTATCCATTTCCTGGTGCTTATTTATTTTTTATTGTATTCACCTGCCAATATAGAGTGTTCTATTTTTCAAACTTAATTCAATCACAAAGCATTAAAATTTGTTTCTCTGTGAAGTCATGTGCTAAGATTAAGGACACTGAGATGAAGCTTACTTCCTCTAGTTCAGTGATAACAAAAATGTGATGTGTGTAACTACACTCCTGCACTTGGATGGGAGTCCTCTTCCTTTCTTTCTGTTGCTAACTCATCACTCACTGAGCAGTCTGTGGAAGGTTTTATGTTCCTGACACTATTTCAGGCTCTTGACTGTGGGAAAGTCCTTGAATAAAAGCCCTGGGGGTACTGTGGGAGACAGGATATAAGGCAGAGATGGGCAAAAGCTATCCTCAGTGATCTCTATAACATGAGCTGAGGTAGGAAGCGGGGCTGGACAGGATGTGGGATGTAGCTGTGACATTTGGACTCTCTCCCACCTGTCAGGAGAGATGAGAGGGTCGTGTTGGAGAGAGGAATTGCCTGGGGGAGGACATTCAGAATTAGAAGGGACGATTGTGGAGTAGAAAGAGAAGAATAATACTGGTAGAGAGAGCAGGTCAAAGAAGGGCCTGGAAACTAACCACTGAGTGGGAAGGGGGAAAAGAAGAGGAAACCTAACCAGATACCTTCTCTAAGAGATTCTGCACTAATATCTGACTCCCTTTTCAGAACCATAGATTTTTTGTCAGTCGTGGGGCCTGAACTCTTGGTCTAGATGCTGTCCCTCAGCTCTTCAGCTCAAGGCTAGCACTCTTCCATTTGAGCCACAGTACCACTTCTGGCTTTTTCTGCTTATGTGGTGCTGAGGAACTGAACTCAGGGCCTCATGCATGCAAGGCTAGTACTTTACCATTGAGCCACCTTCCTAGCTCCTCAGAGCCACAGATTTTGGATATAAATGGTGATGTTGAAGAATGAAATCCCCATGGAGCCCTGCACAATAGTATCCATACTCAGAAACCAGACACTACTAGTAGAGGAGGTGAACAAACCAATGACTCACCTAAATGATCTATGTTATTAGACTCTGTCCCTTATAGTGCTGTTCCTGCCTGAACACAGACTTCTTGCCTCTGAGATCAGTAATAGTTCCAAAATAGCCTTAAGAGCCTGAGAGACCATGTCAAACGTCAGGAGTGTGAGGACCAAGACCTGAGTTAAATAAGTATGTGTGTAACCTACAAGGAAAATGTTTAGTCTGGGACCTATCATGGAGTGCCTTGAATTCTCAGCATTGACATGGGCTGCCTAGTTGAGAACATGGCCAAAGGCCACTGTCATTTCACTGTTCCCATGTGGTCCCTATCAGGAGCCAGTTTTCCATGAATGAGCTTTAGTAGCCAGGACCTTTACCCCAAATGAGTGCTACCTACCTTGGGAAGTCCCAATAATCTTAGTGAGAATAAGGACTGATTCTATCTTGTCTTCCAGTCCTCTGCTCCTGTCCCCCTTCATTACACCTGATTGCTCTGGTATATCTTCATCTCGTCTGTCTGTTCTTTTCTCTCCTACTTGCTTCTCTACCTACCTGTCTCCCACCTGCCTATGTCTTTGAATATTCTTATTAATGTCTGATCACCTGACTGCCTTCTATCCTGCTTACCCTTCTACCTATCTTTTTTTTCTTTGGACTTTTTGCCTGTGCCAATATGATGTTTTTGTTTTGATATAATATACTACCATACTTTCACAGTTTAAAACAACACATATTTATAATTTCATAGTTTTGAAGGTTATCTCTCTACAATGGATTTCTCTAACTAAAAGCAAGATTTTTTAAAAACAGCTTTCAGGGAGAATCTCATCTTTGATTTTCCATCTTCCTAATTCTAGAGCTTTTTTTCCTCAAAATCTCTCTATGATTAGATTCAGCCCTCCCTATTTCCTGTACTTGAAATCAACTAATAATAGATACTATCCACAACTATAATAGCTTTTTAGAGCAGAACTGGACTAGTAGGCAATTGAATAACAATTCAGCACAATTCTGTTGAACTTGAAAACTAAATTTGACATTCAACCCTGTTATCTTAGCATTCATTCACATCCCCTTAGACATACTTAATCTGCAAATAAAGATCTTTTATATCACGAAACTACCCTGAGGTTATTTTTAACCTTCAAAATCATAATTCATTTAAAATAAATTTTGGCAACTATTCTTCATAGTATTGAAAATACATTAACCTTTCTCCTGAAATAATGCAAAGTCATGACAAGGTATTCACTCTTCTTGATATTCTGTGCCTTTCATACTGTCAAGTTAAAAAAAAAACTAAGTAGTACAATACATCTTGTGATAGCCATGAAAGGGGGAGGTTTAGCTGGAAAGATGAGACTCTGAGGTCAGTTTTCAGAAATCTCAGCCTTGCAGTGGTAGGTCATAAGGGTTTCTCCATGGACAAAATGGAAGCTTCCAAGTCATGGATGCATAGTCTTGATTTCAATCCTTGTTGTAAACTTTTCTTTCCTGACTTTTGTGTAGGTAGAAACAGCGAGCCAATCTGAATAAATCTCTTATTTTTACGAAATTTTCCAAGGTAACCTTGCCTTTGTATGTGCTTCCCTTGTAGCATATGTTTGACTAATGGTACCAACTGGTGGTATTTTGCTGAACTCGTTTACTACGTTATGTCACAAACAACCTTTCAGCAACAAAACTGGAAAGGGAAGAGCCAGGAGGGAGGAACTAGCTCTCCCATCCTCTGGAAGAAATGTCACACCCATTTGAGTCCTTAGAGTCTGCAGGAGAAGTGGGGAAAGGGAAGAAAGAGGAATCCCAGGGAAGTCTCTGGAACAATAACGTGGGGACTTGTCTATGTTCTTAGTTTGGGACACACACTTTCACTTCCTCTTCACCTTGTGTTCCAAGTCATTTGTCCTTTCCTGGGCCCTCTCCCCGGTCCCCCCGCCTCCAAAGGGTGAACTCAGCTCTGACATAGTTAGGCTCATAGATGTTCAGAAGCTAGCATATACCTAAGCCAGAGTAGGCATGTATAAGGGAAGTGGTGGGACTAGAACACCCTTCTTTCTAGGCTCCCTTTGTGCTGGATTGGAAATAGTGACAGAAGAACAGGACCACTCAGGAGCCCAGTGTCACCAAGCAGGAAAGAAGGGAAGATGCTGTGCAAGCAGGCTCAGGAGTCTCCCTTCCATCCCCTGTATCCTCCATTCCCTAAACAGTTCTAGCACAGTGGTCACTCCATTGCCAAAGTCACCGCTTTAAGTCCAAGCCACCGTCTTTCCACACCTAGCTTAGCTCAACAATACCAAGGGGCCACTCTGTCTCCATCTGGCACCTGCCATCAATCCTCCTGTCATTTCAGTCAGGGAGAGCTTCCTTCTTAACACAAGCTTCCTTCTTAATAAAGAAAGTAGCTCCAGCTTATTGTGCAATAGAAAAGCCACCTAGATCTCCTCTACCCCACCCAGCACAATGTATTTATTATTCATCAGGTTTTCTTAAGGACCTACATGTGCAGATACATGTTCTAGATACTTCAGGGCAATTAGAAAGACATAATTCTGCCCATTTGTTTGATGAAAAAAGAGGGGGAAATCTACAAGTAGACAAGTAAGGGTAATAGCCACTGACAATAGTAGAGGCTGAACAGAAATAAAAATGGTGCTATGAGAGGGCCTGCTTGGATTTGGTGATCCTGGGCAACGTAGTTAGCCACCCACTTTCTCCCAGAAGCTTCCCTGGATAGCGAGGCTTGTGTTTGTGCTGATATATGGAGTAAATGTGCTATTATGTCTTCCAGCCCCTTGGAAACACTGGTTGAAACATATCAGATATGCAATGCTCCGTGTAAAGTTATGGGCTTCTCTGTGGTTCAGGTGCTCAACCTAATCCTCACCTTATCCACATTAACGGTTAATAACTAACGGCCTAGCACCAAACTTCCTAGGTTAGAATTCTGGGTGATCCTGGGCAAGCAGCCAACCTCGTTTTACCTTTACCATTTACATTGAAAAAAAAATTGCAGTTTCTCTAAGGTGATATACAGGGCGGTAAAGAGTACATTTCTTTTTGGACAATGTCACCCCTTCCCTTGCTCTCTCCCAGTTTTTCCCTCTTATCCCTACCCACAAGTTCTAAAGTTTATTTTCAACATAGTGTCCAGTGAGTACATTGCTGCATTTTTTTACCCTTTGTCCCTCCATTTTTGTGCTCCCTTTACACTTCCAAAGACATATAAATGAACAAACAAGACAGAAAAGAAAAGAAAAACAGTAAAAAAGAGAAAACCTCTTGCTTCCATTTCCTGGAGTTCATTTCAGTAAGTATTATTTTGTATGATCAGATGCACATAGGCATTGCACCTTTGTGTTTCTCTCCTAAGAGTATCCTCCTTTTGTCTCCTTTTGTGTGTGAATGCCTACATTTATTACATCCTGGTATATTTTAGACTTAACTTTTGCATATGAGAGAAAACATGCACCATTTGTCTCACTGAGCTTGGATTACCTCACCTAACTTGATTTGTCCTAGGTCTACCCATTTCCCTGCAATTGTACAATATTATTCTTTCTAGTGGCTATACAAAATTCCCTGCAATTGTACAATATTATTCTTTCTAGTGGCTATACAAAATTCGGATCCACTCATCTACTGTAGAGCATCTGGGGTATTTCCACAATTTAGCTATTGTGTGATATTTAAAAAAAAAACAAAACCAAATAAACTGTTTCATAGAATTAGGGGGAGAGAAAGCAGTAGATTAATCATTAACCTGAACACACAGTGCTCACTAAAATTAATCAATTATGAGCCCAACTATACCCAAAAAGTCAGTATGGAATAAGAGATTGAGTTTGAGGACCCTAACAGATCTCACTTCATTCCCTCTAGTCACTTGACTTACCCATTTGGTAGCTCTAAGCCAAACTCCTGGCCCAAAGCTACCATGCAAACTGTTTCTCTTATGCTATTATTGTACATTTAAAATTTTGTCTTTGTACCTGTTGCCTGTTGAAATTCTTATTAATACAACTGCTAACAAAATGAATGTCAGACTGTGCTTTGAGATAACACCAATTTCATTGGTATCAGAGACCTGGAGAAGTTGAAGTAGGCCCATTTGTGCTAGTGCTGTGGTTGGACAGGTGTTCTGCTAAGTATTGCTACAGTCTTAAAAAGAGACATTAGAGATCTAGTTTGGTGCAGAAACTTGTACACATATACGTGACATGTAAAGGATGAGTTGCATGTTAACATAAAAGATTTCTTAAATAAATTCCTTAAAACACTACTTTCACCAGGTATTAGTGGTTCTGGCCTATAATGCTAGCTACTCAGGAGGCTGAGTTCTGAGGATTGTGGTTTGAAGCCAGCCCAGGCAGGAAATCCCAATAGACTCTTATTCTCCAATTAACGACCAAAAAAGCCAGAAGTGGAGCTGTGGCTGAAGTGGTAGAGCTGAGTGGCAATGTGCAGACACTGAGTTCAAGCCTTAGGACCAGCACAACAACAACAACAACAACAAAAAAGTAATTATTTCAAATAGGCAAGTTTGAGAAAATCCTTTTATTATCTCTTAGTTCTAATTTTGCATAAGTTTAACAAGAATGATTTATATTAAATCAGTAGCTTTTACAAAAACTC